ATGCGATAAAATAAAAGTGATCCACCAGAAGTATAGAAAAAGAAGCCTGAAGTACTTTTCCTAAGATATGTTTAAGAATTCTAGTATCCTGTCAGGGATTCAGCAAGCTGTATTTGGTTGACAAACTTGCTGTTTTTAAGTATTTGATTGATTACTGCTGAACCCCTTAATCTCAGTCCTACCACTCACCAAATCATACTTCTCAGTTTGTGATGCTTAGTACCAGATCCTAGACCAGCATGACCCCACCAGCCAAATACAGTCATAATGTCCTTGGGAGCTCCTAGTTCCATTTACAGTAAGATTTACAACAAATATAGACTTTGGGGTTAAAAAAAATTTTTTTTTTTTTAAATACATTATTATTAAGGATATATTTTATTGCATAGCAATCAATAACTTTAAAGTGTTACATGTTTCAAATGTGTAAAATATCTTTTTTAATCATAAATCTTTCCTCTATTTTGTTTATAAATACACAGTAAAAATATTTGCTTTACTGAAATAGATCAAAGGACCTCCAGTGTATCCTTTTATTTTTACAGAACTTGAATACAGCAAGTTTCATATATTCGCAAACTCTTTAAAGCAGGATTCACAGTCTGCACACTTTATATAAGTTATCAGCCATTTGTTGACAATTCTGGTTTGTAGGATTTTCTCTAGCAGTGAGGACAACATTAACAAGCATTTGTTAACACTGCAATTTAAACTACTGAACACGAATTTATTAAATAATTAAAAATAAAGTGAAGTTTGTTTTTTAAAAAAACACCTGGCAGTGTAATCGTTCGGAAAAAAAAATTTACATACACCTACAGCTACCACCCATTAGTCAGTCTGTTGTACTGCAGTGGCTTGCATGTTGCTGTGATACTGGAAGCTATGCCACCATTTTTTCCAATGCCAGCAGGGTCAACCATGGTGGACAGGTTTCAGAGGAACTTCTAGACTAAGACAGACTAGGAAGAGAGCCCTGGCAATCTACTTCCAAAAATTAGCCAATGAAAACCCTATAGATGATAACAGAATACTGTCCGATAGAGTGCTGGAAGATGGCCCTCTAGGATTCAATGTGCACAAAATTGAGTGACGTAAGAAGAACCAAAGAAGACGGAAGAAATACAGAGTCGCTGTACTGAAAAGAACTGGTCAATTTTCAACCATTTCAGGAGGTAGCATGTGATGAAGAACCACTGGTACTAAAGGATGAAATTCAAGCTGCACTGAAAGCACTGGTGAAAGACAAGGCTCCAGGAACTGACAGAATACCAACTCAGATGCTTCAACAAACAGCTGCCACACTGCAAGTGTCTACTCACCCATGTCAAGAAATTTGGAAGACAGCTACCTGGCCGACCAACTGAGAGAGATCCATACCCATGTCCATTCCAGAGAAAGGCAATCAAATGGAATGCAGCAGTTATTAAACAGTGTCATTGTATCACATGCTAGCAAAATTCTGAAGATAACTCAAAAATGACTGCAGCCATACACTGACAGGAAACTGCCAGAAGTTCTAGTTAGATTCAGAAGATGACATGGGAACGAGGGGTATCGTTGTCAGATGGATCTTGGCCAAAAGCAGAGAATACCAGACAGATGTTTACCCATATTTCATCGATTACGGGAAGGCATTTAATTGTGTGCATCATAAATTACAGGTACCCTTACAAAGAATGGGAATTCTGGAACACTTATTTGTGCTTGTGCAGAACCTGTACCTGGGATCAAGAGGCAGTCATCCAAAAAGAAAAAGGGGATATGGCATAGCTCAAAATAGGAAAAGGTGTGCAGCAAATTTGTATCCTTTCACCTTACTGGATCTGTATGCTGAACAAATAATCTAAGAAGCTGGACTGTATGAAGAATGTGGCATCAGGATTGGAGGAAAACTTATTAATAACCTGCAATATGCAGATAATACAACCTTGCTTACTGAAAACGAAGACGACCAGGAACACTGATGAAGGTCAAATACAGCCTTCAGTATAGATCATGTCTGAACATTAAAAAAAAAATCCTCACAACTGGGCTAATAAACAACATAATGATAAATGTAGAAGAATCTGAAGTTGTCAAGGATTTCATTCTATTTGGATCAACAATCAACATCCATGGAAGCAGCAGTGAAAAACTCAGACAATGCATTGCATTGGGTAAAACTCCTGCAAAAGACTTCTTTAAAGTTTTAAAAAGCAAAGACATCACTTTGATGACTAAGGTGCATCTGACCCAAGCCGTGGTCTTTCCAATTGCCTCCTATGTATGTAAAAGTTGGATAACGAAAAAGGAAGACAGAAGAAGAAATGATGCATTTGAACTGTGGTGTTGGCAAAGAATATTGAATATACTGTGGACTTTCAAAAGAACAAACAAATCAGTCTTAAAAGAAATATAATCAGAATGTTCCCTATAAGCAAGGACAGTGAGACTTCTACTTGCCTGCTTTGGGCACATCATCAGGAAAGATCAATCACTAGAAAAGAATATTGGTTGGTAAAGTGGAGGGCCAACGAAAACGAGGGAAAGTACCAGTGAGATGCACTGACACAAGAGCCGTGACAACTCAAAGATATCAATGACCATGAAGATGGCATAAGGGAGCCAACTGGATGGCAAGTTAACACATATACGAGTAACTATGCACATATACACACGTTCACATTACATGTATGTGAATGTATATACATATATGTATATATGGGAAACAAAAAATGACCCCATGCCATGTTTATACACTGATATGTCATTAACATCATAAACAAAGTTAACAATACTATTAGACTATTTTATGACAGTAAAACTGATTCAGTCAGATGGCCCCGTATTTATAGACAATCCAAGTAATGTATGGATGGTGAAAATGTAAAGTATCTAAAATCTCCCTTGTTTCTTTTGTAATAGCTAAGTCAAATATACACACAGCTGCCTCTGACAAAGCCAAAACTAGGATCCATTATCTTAAACAATTTATTTTTTTAATTACTCTATTATGAGGCTCTGCCACAAGTGTCTGAGAGGTGTGAAACAAACCTACAGTCACAGAGCTCCACATTTACTCAACATTATTATCTTCTATCATTCTTGTATATTCATATTACATATTTATTATAACTAATTTTTTATTTTCCTGTGAAATCAACTTGTCAGACAGTGAACACTTTGGAGACCAAAATACCACTAAACATTCGGAATTGATAATTTTCAGAAACACAGAATTCATCTGTCATCAGGGTACAATATATACAATAGTTGATACAGGTCATAGAAAATTTGACTTAAAAATGGTATGCTATTATATGTTCCATACAAAAGTTTACCAAATCAAGAATTCGTGAAATTCCAGGCTAAAGTCTCTAGTAGATTGTATCAACTCACTTCTACAATTAATGTCAATATATAGGAAATAGTTTCTCTACTAAGAATGCTTAAAGTTGTTTATAAGAACATTATGTATGTGAATTTAGAGATTTAATTTTATAATCTATAAAATGCCAACTTTTAAGCTGCTAAATATAAATACTTTCATTTAGGTTTTTTTTTTTGTTTTGTTTTGAAGCTTGTAAACTGTTTCACTTTGGGGAAAAAATTCTATTAAAATTTAAACAACTATTCACAAACTATTTTTTTTAAAACAAAATCAATAGCCCATAACATTCCCTTTATTGAAAGGTATTTGTTAAACATTTGGATTTGTCATTCTCTAGTTACAGTTCCATGTTTGAAAAGAGCCAGGAGCTTACTGTACATGAGCTATTTTGTAAAGCACATATTAAAATATTACACCTCTTCTAATAAAATTGATAGCATTATGTTTCTGAGCACCCAAATTATAGGGAAGAGAAAACTTAGGAAGGAATATCATCAGTCTTCGTGTTTCTCATAAAATCTATTGGTTGAAACAGCTAAATATCTACTAAGTATTTCTATGTTAGTAATTTTGCATCCTGAAAAATAAAATCAAAGGATTCATTCGACATTCTTTCCATGGAATTGTAACTTGGTGCCTTTCCTTATATCTTTTTTTTTTTTACTGATTTTGTTGTTGTTGAGAATATTCTCAACAACAAAACATCCACCAATGCAACAGACTCCACGCGCACCGTTTAGTGACACTGATCACATTCTTCGCGTTGAACGTTTTTAATGACCATGGAAAAGTGCAGCAGCCTCTAGTTTATACTGTTAGAGGGAGCCTAGCCCGATCAGAGAAGGAGCTCTGGTGGCGCAGTGGTGAAGTGCTGGGCTGCTAACTGAAAGGTTGGCAGTTCGAACCCACCAGCTGTTCCCTGGGAGAAGAGACCTGGTGATCTGCTCCAGTAGACTTATAGCTTAGGAAACCCTACGGGGCAGTTCCATCCTGTCCTACAGGGTCGCTAAGACTCGCACCTACTCAAGAGCACACGACAACAACAGCAGACTCATAGGGATTGGCCCATTACATTGAGATGTAATGTGTTTATTCAAAAGCTTGCCTCAGAAGTCTTTTTTAAAGGTTTCTCAACCTTGGCACTGTTAACATTTTGGGGTGGATAATTCCTTGCTGTGGGCGCTGTCCTGTGCATTGTAGGATGTTCAGCAGTGTCCCTGGGGTCGACCCATTACCTGCCCGTAGCAGCCCTTGAGTCATGACAATCAAAAATGTCTGCAGACATTGCCAAGCGTACCCTAGGGGGCAAAATCACCCTCTGTTGAGAACCTCTGCTATCCAGGCAAAAACATAAAATGATAAACAGGTAACAGTGCCATAAGAAAGTAAGTCATCAGGGAACACAACAGAGTCCCGGACAGAGCGGGAGAAAAGCACGCAGCAGAACTCAAAATCACATAAAAAGACCAGATTTAATGGTCTGACAGAGACCGGAGGAACCCCCGAGACTACGGCCCCCAGACACTTTGTTAACCCAGAACTAAAACCATTCCCGAAGTCCACTCTTCAGACATAGACAGGACTAAAACAAAAATAATACTTGTGAGGAGTGTGCTTCTTAGTTCAAGCAGATACACAAAACCAAATGGGTGCTGTCCGGAGGCAGGATGAGAAGGCAGGAAGGGAAAGGAGCTGGTTGAACAGACACAAGAAACCCAGGGTGGAAAGCGGGACTGTGCAGTCACGTTGCAGGGACTGCAGCTAATGTTACGTAACAGTATGTGTATAAACTGTGATATGAGAAATGAACTTAGCTTGACACTTTCACCTAAAGCACAATTAAAAAAAAAAAGTCATCATTTATTATTTACGCTTAACACTTTTATACTGATTTAAGATGTTATAATTAATATGTACTAATTACATAAATGATGTGAACTACTTAGCAAGCAATGAAGGGCTCTGCGCAGACTATATAGTTTAATTAGAAACACTTCAAACATTCTAAATACAGATCTAGGTTTAACGAACCTCGTTACTGATTATCAGGTGAGCGTTGGCTTTAAAAACCAACTTCAGTGTGTGTTCTATTACCGTAGATATTACAATAAAAGAATCTACCATTTTTTCAAACTGTGGATCAGTTGCTAAGAAGGGGCCCGACAAGGTGCACTTCAGTGTTGGGAGTGACGGTGGAGAAACACCCAACGTGAGGATTGACAGTAACTGTCGTGACGTCATTTCTTCCTTCTTCGTTTCTTCCCCTTTCTTTTCTCTTGTGAAGCCTTCAGGTCGGTCATTGCATTTACAGTCTTTTGTACCCACAGAATCTAAAAACAAACATTTCGAGGCATGTTTAGAATGGGGAAGATTGTACACATGGCGTATACAAAGAAAACTACAACTTAAATGGCTGTAACGTACATACCACAATGATCATGGCATTGAACAACAGTGGTGTTGAAAATACTAGAGAAATGAACATTCCCCTCGAATCAAAATACTGGTATTTTGAAAATAACCTGTTTTGGGGGAGGAAGAAAGAAAGAAAAAATTCCTTAGCATAACATAACAAACATTTGCAGTGATTAGATTATGTCAATTAAAAGGGTCGCTATGAGTTGGAATTAGACTTGACGGCAGTGGGTTGAGTTTTGGATCCTACCCCCAACACTCGATCTACCCCTCAGATCTTTTATAATTTCTAATTCCTTAAGGAGACCTGGCTGCACAGTGGTTAGGCGCTCGCCTGCTAACTAAAAGGTCGGTGGTTCGATCCTACCAGCCGCTCTGCAGGAGAAAGATGTGGCAGTCTGCTTCTGTAAAGATTAAACCTGTTGCCATCAAGGTAATTCTGACTCATAGCGATCCTATAGGACAGGGTAGAATTGCCCCATATGGTTTCCTGGAAGTGGCTGGTGGACTGGAACTGCCAATCTTTTGGTTAGCAGCCGAGTTCTTAACCACTGCACCACCAGGGCTCCTATGGGGCACTTCTGTTCTGTTCTATAGGATTGCTATGAGTCGGAATCGACTCGATAGCAATGGGGTTTTTTAAATCTAAAATGTTAAGCTCATTTTGAAGAGAATACACTAGATCACATTAGAAAGCCTGTTTGTGGAGAGAAGATGACAGAAGTAACAGTAATTAACCTAATGATAAACTTTGTTTTAGGCAAAATGAACACTTGCGCATAATAAGCTCCTCTGGGTTAACAGGGAATTGGACGCTGACTGTAACATGCTGTTGTCGTGAGATTCTTAAACCTGTCTAGTACCGATTTCAATACATTTTATAAATGATAAAGTAATAATAGTTGATTTACTCTATAGCTACTTTAAGGCAGGTACTATACCAGGTTCCTTCATCTAACGTAACTCTCACTTTATTAAAGCAGGCATTATTATCTCTTTTTGTAGGAGGGGAAAGGAAGACTCAGAAAGGTGAAATGATCGTCTTGCCCAGAGGTACCGAGCGAGTAAACGGCAGAGACGGGCTTTGTAATGAGGTGTTGCTCTCCGATCAGCCAGCGCAGAGACTATGGTGGAGAACGGCTACCAGCACGTGCAACAATTCAGTAACTCAGTGACAAAGAACCAGTGAGTACCTACCAGGCACCAGGCACATACGCTGGAGACACAGCAGTTAACAGAAAAGATAAGAATTCCTGCTTAACATTTATATATAGGTTCTCTGGGGTGGTGGTGGGGGGGGCAGAATCAGCTAATTAAGAGATCATCAGTTGAAATATGTAGTCGGAATGGACTTCACAGCAACTAACAACATGCCATGATTGATATTATCGAGAAAAATACAGCAAGGAAAGGGCATAGTGTATATGAGCTCGGGCTGCTTTCTTTAAAAAGCTCATCAGGAAAGGTTGTTTCACGACATTTGAACGACTGGATGCATATGAGAGAGTGTGCCACACAGACACCAGAATACAATGTAGATGTCGGAATACAGCGGTGTGGCCAGTGTGGCGAGCACAGAGTTTGAGTAGGAGGGATGGCAGCAGAAAATGAGATGACAGGGAACAGAGAGAAGCCAGGTCCCATGAGGCTCTGTGGCCATTGTAAGATTCTGCCTTTACTCTGAATGGTACAGAAACTCGTCGGATGGTTCTAAAGCAACAGTGCTTAGCTTAGAATGGCTGAGGGAGGGTGAAACAAGGGTGGAAGGAGAGACTATTTAGGAGGCTGTTACCATAATCTACGTGTAAGAAAAAGGTAAGCTAGGATGGTAGAGATGAAGGTGGTAGAAAATGGTTGAGCTCCTGATTTATGTTAAAGCTAGAGGCAACAGGATTTCCTGAAGAATTTTCTTTGTGATGTGTAAGATTCTTGGCCTAAGAAACTGTCAGAAAGGCTATCATTTACAAAGGTGGAGTTGAATGATTTTGGAAAGAGAGTACAGAAGTCAGTTTGAAAATGATATTTTTAAGATATTTACTAGACAATCAAGTAGGAATACAGTCATGTCACTTAACGTCCACAATATGTTCTGTGAATTAGGAGTTATGTGACTTGGACATTGTGCAAACACTGCAAATATTTAGCAAGGCTGTATGGGATACTGTAGTATACCTGTGTTGACTAAATAGCCAAGATACTGTACACATACAGTACTGTATTTCAGCTAATGTAACTGGCAAGATAATATATGGGTTAAGTAGGTTAATACTGTATAATACTCTATACATAATACATTGTAAATATATACACTACTGTATACTGGAGTGGCAGTGTGAGGGCCTAGGTGGTGGCGTGCAAGGCCCAGGCAGCCAGTGGCAGCCCCAGGGCTGGGGGAATCCAGCCTGGATTACTGAGTGCAGCCATTGAGAAAAGCCAAACTCCTGTGTATGTGTGTCTCAAAAAGCCCCCCCAAATGGCTGCCAATGTGGAATCAATGTCTCAGTACTGGAAGCAATTTGATCTACGTGACTCTAGTTTACTGCCGGCAATGGGGAGCCCCCAGGCGTGCCCTTGGCACATTTGGGAGGTCCTCTGACAGGCAGGTGGGCGCCCTGGGGCAGTGGGTGGCAGCTGCCAGGGCTTGGCTGCCCGCTGCCCATCAACAGGTACACTGTAAATATACACTACTGTGTACACAGACTAATATGTAATCTGTACATCCATTTATGTCTGCTACATCCCCTTCTCCGATCGGGATTTCTGAACTCTATTATAACCTTATGGGACCACGGACCTATATGCGGTCAGATGTTGTCCAAACGGACATTATGTGGGGCATGACTATACATACACACATATATATGATAGAGAAATCAAATAAAGTATGAACTTAAAATTAACATCAAATTTAGCAATATAGAGGTCATCGGTGTCATTGACGAAAGCTTTTTAATCAACGAACAAGAGGCTGACTGGAATGAGTTTAAGAGAAAACAGGAAGACAACCTTCCAGTCTTACTACAGAGAGGACCTGAAATACGGATTCAGCAGCTGGAGAGGGATGCAGCCAATGGATCTTTATAAGATGAGAAACTGCAGTGTGTTCTTATGTTGATGGGGGATGGTTTGGCAGAGAGACAGTAACGAAGCAGGAGAGACAAATGCTAAGTGCTGTGGCCCTGTCTTGGAATATGAAGAGCAGATGGGGCCTGGTGCACAAACAGGTTGATCTTAGATGGAACAGTCAGGCCAGCCCAACAAGGAGGAAGACAGATGAGATGAACATAAAAGCAAGTAGGTAGGACATGAATCTTCTTCTCTGATTCCTTCTATATTCTCACTGAAATATGCAGCAAATTCATTAGCTGAGAATAAGCAGCTGTTGGAGGTTTGAGAGAGAGGAAGATTTAAATAGTCACTAAGCATAGTGTCTGAACAAATGATCTAGGTCAGTGGTCAGCAAACTTTTTCTGTGAATGGCCAGATATTTAGGTTTTGTGGGCCAAGAGACAATGTCCTCATCTTGTTCTTCCCAAAAGGCTAATTTATTTTTTTTTAACATTTAAAAATGTAAAAACTATTTTTAGATCACAGGCCATACAAAAAGTTAGTGGGCCAGAGCTGGCCCGTGGGCCACTGTATGCAAACTTCCATCTGGGGAAATGTGGTAGGTTTTTTGGCTGTGAAAAAGTCTCACCTGAGCAGGAAGAGTTAAATTTAACCAGACATAGGGTTCTGACACTCACGTAGGATAAGGTGAGAGAAGGGTAAAGAGAAGTTGAAGGCGTATGCAAAAGAATAATTATAATGATGGACTATGAAATATAAGCTAGATCGTGAGTAAAAAGAGATCATAAAGAGGTCACAGAACAAAAAATACCATACGATCAACAGGTTATAGATCTTAAAAACAAACAAAAACTCGTTGCCATCAAGTCAATTCCAACTCATAGCATCCCTATAGGACAGAGTAGAACTGCCCCCATAGGGTTTGCAAGGAGTGGCTGGTGGATTCGAACTGCTGACCTTTTGGTTAGTAGCCAAGTTCAGCTGGCTAGAAAATTGATGGAAGTTACCAGGTTGTTAGAGGAAGTAAGCTGGTAAGATAAGAGGTGGTGGATAACGTTGCAAATTTAAAATTGAGATTATAAAGGAGGTGATAGGAAGGCGTAGGCCAGCGTACAACCAGAGGAAGAGATGCAGTCGTCTGAGAAAGAGGCCAAAGAACTAAAAGTCCACAGTACCGGGAGGGCTGAATACATGGACACTGCAGTCACCAACAATAACGGTAACAGTAGTGCTACAAAGAGTAACAGGATGCCAGAACCAAAACCTTCAAGAAGGGAAGGAGTTACCCAGGGATTCACAGAGCACAAGAAAAAGCAGTAGGAACAGCAGAGCAATATTCCTGAGAAAATGAGATTCAGGTATGCAAGGTTTCAGGGACGACAGTGGGAGAGTGGTCGGAAAGCAGCATTACTTTCTGCTTCAACCATGATGATGACTGAGTTCTCTCTGAAGTTTCAGTTTTTTACTCTGCAATTAAAATTACTTTAAAAAGCCCATCAAATTCTGTCACACTTCTGCCATTAACTGTTATATTAACCAACACAGTACAGCTGGAGTTGATCAATCAGAAAATATAAACAAAAAAAATATTTAACAAGTTGTTTCTCAAAGCTGAAACCTATCAATGCAAAGCTGCTTCAATTTTAACTTGGCTTCAATTATTTAATTCTTTTGTTTCCTCTTTGAGTCCTGTGATCTGTATGGAATATTTCTTTGTGACAACACCATCGTAGAAGATATCTCCTAAAATACAGTCAAAATTAAAAGAAAATTGGCTTTACCTCCAGTTCATTGCAGCCACTTCATTAATATATTCAGCACAATAGACTAAAATTACTGAAAAAAGACAAAAAACTGTTAGATTTTAAATGACTACTAACCACTATAGAATAAATCATGTATTTGTAATAGAATATTTAATGTAAGTATAAGAGAAGAGCAAAAATTTGATGAGAAATGCAATTTCTATTTGAGATATAATGTGAGAAGTAAAAATTATAAAATTGTAATTATAGGGCACACGCATTTAACAAAAAAGAAAATCAAGGTCAATGCAAGTTCAAGGTTTTGATGGTTTTGGCCTTGTAAAGCTGTTCAGCAGCAGCAGTCATGACCGGAATCCAAGTCTACTACCTTGAAATCAACTGTTTACCATGCAGTAATATTTGCCTAAAATGGCATTTCCTATACAATACAAGGCAAAGTTAAATCACATGCAACACCATGTAGCAGAATTCAAAGAGCTGTTAAGACTAAGAGCTTAAAACTACCTGTTTTTCCACCTCAAACATTCGCACAATGGGGAAATTACTATTGAGACTTTCAAAAGGAATTGGATGGAAAAGCACCTGTTAGCGCTGGAAAGAAAGCAATGGAGAGGGATGACGAAGCTGAATAGCAGGACAGTAATAATGGCAGCTAACGCTTATGAGAGCTTTCTATGGGCTCTTCGATTGATCTCATTTAATGTCTGTTCAGTCTATCTAAACAGGAGCTCTGCTTATCCCAGGGGCAAAGCAAAGTTAAGTGACTTGCACAAGGTCTCACAGCTAATTCCATGCTAATGCTGATATTCAAACCTATGAAGGACGGACCTCAAAGCATGCATTCTCAAACACCACACTCTGCTAATATACTGACCTGCACAAAAATGAAAAAAAAAAAAGTCATATGGAAAATTAAAAAAACTTAAATAAACATTTCACCAAAGAAGAAATACAAATGGTGAGCAACACATGAGAAGCTCCTCAAGGGCATTAGTCATCAAAAAACAAACTAAACAAACAAACAAACAAAAAAAAAACTCACTGCTGTTGAGTCAATTCCAACTCGTAGTGACCCTACAGGACAGAGTAGAACTGCCCCATAGGGTTTCCAAGGCTGTAAATCTTTAGGGAAGCAGACTGCCAGATCTTTCTCCTGCAGAGCAGCTGGTGGGTTCAAACTGCCGACCTATTTGGTTAGCAGCCAAGCATTTTAACCACTGCACCACAAAAATTAAAAAATTGGTTTTACTTCTAGTTCACTGTGCTCTTGGAGTTTCCTGCATGACACTCATCACAGTTTATAATGACACATCTAGTTGTAGGATTACCCAAATGTTGACGTTCCCAGCTGCAACCCTAGCATGCCCTCACATGCTTGCTAGTTCTGCATGAACTGAAAACAGTACCTCTATCTCCAACCCTTATTTGTCCAGTACTATGTCTGCAAACTCCCTTTACTCCTGTACTTCTAAATCATCTTGTTCAGATTTCCCACTTTGCACATGGCCAGCTCACCAACCTTATTTGAGATTTATTAAAAAGTTGTTGCTTTTTGTTAAAATACCATGACAAATTTTCAGTGACTCCCCAATATCCAGAAAATCAAAAAAAAGCCTCAGCCCAACCATTTTAGGCTCTACCCACACCTTCTACCAGGTACACTGATAACTACTGAACACAAGGAACGCCGAGCTCTCGCCGGGCTGGGTTTCTCTGACGTTCGGTCCGTGTTTCATATTTATCTCCACTTCTGTGTATCAGTAAAGCTGCCCTCCTTCTGTGAGCTTTCTCCCCATATCTCATTCCCGAGCTAGGTATCTGTTTCTCTAGCTTGTCTTAGTAAAATGTTACTTTCCATGCCCCATATCAAGACCTTACTTTTCCACATAATCTTTCTCCATGAGGCACTGGTGGCGCAGTGGTAAAATTCTCGCCTTCCAGGCAAGACTGAGGCTTGACTTCTGGCCAAGGCACCCCACACACAGTCAGCACCCGCCTGTCAGTGGAGGCCTGCAGGTGGCTATGATGCCGAACAGGTTTCAGCAGAGCTTCCAGACTAAGGTGGACTAGGAAGAAACGCCTGGTGATCTACTTCCAAAAATTAGCCAGTGATAACTCTTTGGATCACATGGTCCAATCCACAAGTGGTCGTGGGGATGGTACAGGACCAGGCACGATTTCTTTCCATTGTGTGTGAAGTCACCAGGAGCTGACTTGACAGTAGCTAACAATAACAACAGCCTTTCTCAATCTCTCCATGCAACTCATTTCCTTCTCTAAATCCATAGCCTTTATCTTTACAACTGATTTGGGCAATGTTTTAAATTATTTTATGCAGAGAACTTTCCCTCCTAGTTTGTCTTCTACCTCCCAGAGCAAGCAGCATACTAAGCACAAAGAGGAAAACAACTTGTAGACAAGACAGTCAGCACTGCATTAAACTGAACTCTTCTTTGAATGACTTGTATTTAGTACCCTTGCCTGGGACGTAACTGATGATCAACAGATTCCTCTTAAATTCAATACCCAAAAATTATTTTACATTTATAGTTCCCGAGACTCTAAAAATCAAAGTGGAACACAGGATAGAGGGGCTGGTGAACATGTTTATGTGTTTTGAAGATACAGACACCACATAAACACAAGTATCTTACATAGTAATCTTAGTCACAGATGTTTTAATTTTTTATTCTACTCACCTAGGCATAGGAAATGTCCAATCTGTACTTTATACCTTTGGAAGGAGAAACAAGTGAGGAGCAAGCAGAGGACGTGGAAGACAACGAGTCCTATCAGCCACGGTTCAGTCCAGTCTGTCTGCTGTAAGCACAAAACATCAGAAGTTCAGCGTCAGGTCTTGTGCAGAGCTTTATCAAGGATCAAGTCAGAAATCAGCGACCCCAAACCAGCCATCAAAAATCCCACACAGCACAGTTCTACTCAGGCACACATGGCATCACCAAGTGTTGGAATCGACTCTGTGGCAACTGGTACTGATTTACCACTGAATACTCCTTGTGCTACTGAGCAATCTCTCCAGAATGGCACGGTCCGGCCTCACAGAGAAACACGGGAAAAAGGAAAGAGAAGAAAAGGCAGGACAGAAACAAGAATCCATTCTATATTTCAACCATAATCAACAAACCTTAAACATTTTTAAAAAGATACACCACTGGTTTAATCTTCAAGTACATACTTGACGTGACCCTTTTATTTATTAAATAGCGTTTTCAAGCGGGATAGAATCTAAGCAATCACTCAGCAAATTATACGACAAGGAAGGGAAGTTGATGCATTTGGTTCATCCCAAAGTTAAAACATGAATTCATATTTCAAGCTCTGTAAGCTAGTATTTAACTACTTGGAAAAATGTGGCAGTCTGCTTCCAAAGATTTACAGCCTTGGGAACTCTATGGGGCAGTTCTACTCACTCCTGTAGGATCGCTATGAGCCAGAATGGACTACCACAACAGTGGGTTTAGTTTTTTTAGTACTGCATATCACTGCTACGGAGCCCTGGTGGTGCAGTGGGCAAGTGCTCAGCTGCTAACCAAAAGGTCTGAGTTCGAATCCACCAGCCGCTCCTTGGAAATCCTCTGGGGCAGTTCTGTTCTGTCCTATAGGGTCGTTGTGAGTCGGAATAGACTCAACGGCAGTGGATTAGGTTTTTTTGGTACTGTGTTATCTGCTATTTGCATGAATGTCTCGACCTACCAACAGGATGAGGCATAAAGCAGGCACTCAAGAGCCCGGTACATAGTCATTCAACAAGTTTGTCCTTAACCGTCCAATGAATGAACTAAAAACGCCAAAGAAAGCAGACAGGAGTGGGGAACGCGGGGCTTCTGAGTCCACCCTGCTGCCACCGAGCGGCGCAGGGCAGCACCCGCCGCCCGTGGGCGTCCCGGCCCGCCCCCGGCGGCCCAGACCCCCTCCCCAGGGTGGGCCGGCCCTCCAGACGGAGCTGCACCCCGGCCGTCCAGACCCCCGCCCCGGGGTGGGCCGGCCCTCCACGGCGGAGGTGCACCCGGCCGTCCGGACCCCCGCCCCGGGGTGGGCCGGCCCTCCACGGCGGAGCTGCAGCCGGCTCCCGGGCCCAAGCGGGGCAAAGCCGGGGAGCCGTGGAACGGCCGGAAGTGCGCTGCCCCATACCGCCTCCCGCGCCCGGAGGCTTCAGAGCTGCGAGTTACCGTGATGACGGCGGGAATGCTAACGGGGAAGGTGTCGACTGAGAAGGCGGACGGCATCTTCCCGGAGAAGGCCCGCCCCTTCAGGAACCGCCACTGAGGACGCCTCCCCCGCCCGACTGGGATCCCCGCTAGCCGAGTGGCGTCTTCTCGCGAGATCTTCCCGGCCTGGGTATCGCTCCAGATCTCGCGGTAGTACAGGGCATTTTAAAAAAGTAATAATTAAAACTGAAACTGGATTTCTATGCTTTTTCACTTGTATTATTTGGTACAGAGGACAAAAGCTTTATTTTTTGCTTCTTCCCCTGTGTTGGACAGAGGGAGAAAGTTGGGAAGCGAGTAGAGGCTATTTCTGCAGGATTAGGGGGCATTTGGAGGCCTGCTGGCGCTGTAGTTGAGAGCTACGGTGCTTAACCAAAAGGTCAGCGGTTCAAATCCACCTCTCTGCTCCCTGAAAACCCTCTGGGGCAGTTCTCTTCTGTCGTATAGGGTGACTATGAGTGAAAATCCACTCCATGGCAACGGTTTGTTCGTTTAGGGGATATTTGTAGCATTGCTCACAGCCTCTTTTTCTGAAATGGCACACTTCTAAAATTATATAGTACCAGAGCCGCTCACATGCCCCGCGGAGGAACCTGCCCACCAGGACGCTAGGGGAGCAGTGTCTTGGCACTGAGGGCATGGTATGTGATTTTATGTATACCCATAATTGTTTTTTTTCTTTTAATGTGAATGCTCTAGATTTGCTCTTTTCACTTTACAATACAGTACTGTATTTCCTTTTACACCGTCTATAGTAATTGCCTACACAAAATCTATTCCTCTCCTATCCCCTTCTGTTAGCTAACAATATCCAGATTCTAGTAAACACCCCTTTCCCGCACAGCCGGTGTGCTTAAGGGTTGTGCTTTTCAAACATTAGTGTGCATACACATCACCTGGGGATATTATTGAAAATACAGATTCTGATTCAGTCGGTCTGGGGTAGGACTTAAATTTCTGCCTTTTTAACGAGAGCCCTGGTGGCACAAGTGTTAAGCCATTGGTTAAACCAACCCAGTGTCTCCACCATGTGGTAAAGATTACAGCCAAGAAGACTCTATGGGGTAGTGCTACTCTGTCACATGGGGTCACTGTGGTTGGAATGACTTCACAGCTCATAACAACAGGTGACCTAGTGATGCCGATACTGCTGGTCCCTTTCATACTTCGAGAAGTTAGCCTTTGGGAGAAGCTCACCCTTTTCTCAGATCTAGGGGTAAAGACTTTGATTGCTTCTACCTAACTGGGATATTTCCAGTTCTCCCTCCAGGGTGATGCTTCAAGCAACCAAGCTTTAATTCAGTCAGCACATGATATTCCTCTGCTAGGAATTCTGTCCGCAATAGGTACGAGAGCTCTTTAGACTTCTAGGACAGAAGTTTCCCTGAAGTTCAATGAAAACTATTTGAAAAGATACTCTACTTTTAAATGGAGTTGAATAAGGGTGTGAAGTCAAGAACAACTGCAGCCATTTTTTGACTAACATGAGGGAACCCGACCTCAAGATAAATCTGTCACGGAAGAAAGCAAAGCAGAAAGGATGAAAGAAAACGGGCTCTTGGTGGCATTCCTGAACCACTGAATCAAACCAAAATGGAAGCTAGGTTTTGCTCTGGACTTCCTAGTTACGTAGCCAAAACATTCACGTTATTGTGTACGTGAGTCTGCATTGGGTTCTCTTTAAATTGCCGCCAAAAGAATTTTATCTGAAATACCTTCCACATCTGGGTGGAGGCAAGTCCTGCCAATTATATTTCCAAGACTTTTAAAGTCTCTGAATCTCTCATCCGCTTTACCACGCTTACCCATTCCTTGTCTAGACTCCCACAGTAGTTACGTAAGAGGTCTTCCTGTTACCCTCTGGCTCTCCTATAATCTGTTCCTTACACTGCAGCTACAGTGATCCTAAAGTCACTACTCTGTTTGAAATGCTTCAGAGGTGTCCCATTGTTATTAAAATAAACTACTCTTCTTGCTGTGGCATGTAAGGTTATTGGTATATTTAGTGAGGTTTTTTGCCTCTATTGGTTATCTTTGGAAACAATGTATATCTAGAAAACATTTCTTCTATAGTTTCATAATTTCTTGGCTAACGTGTTCATCTCTCTTGTTACTAATTTTTTATCATCTCTAACAGTGTTTATTTGTTCATTAATTTTTTTTCATTGCAGTTGTCAAAGAATCACTGTTTGGACTTACTGGCTAGGTCTCCACTTTTTAAAATGTATTTCCTGCTTTAATTTTGTATAATTTATTTTTCCTTTTGTTTAGCTAATTATGTATTCTTTCGCTAATGTGTCATGTCAGCATATTTAGTTTATTTATTTATTTTCTTTCTCGTTTCTTATACATACATTTAAAACTATAAGTTTTCTCTAAATAGTGCTTTGCCTGCATTCTATTGGGTTTACCATTTACAATTTATGGTAAACCATTTACCATTTAGAATTATTATTCTGATTTACTTTTAAGTAATTTGTTTATGTATATTTTTATTTCTCAAGTTTTCAAGTGAATAATTTTGGGGAGCTATAATTTCATTATTAATTTCTACCTGTGTTGCAATGATGTAAATAAGTGTTTTCAATATTTTTTTCCAGCTTTTTTAGTGAGCTTTCTTTATGGCTGAATACATACAAATCTATAACTGACTTATGAAAATGTATGTGTGTTGCAAAGATAATATATGTTCCGTTTCTTGGATATAAAATTCTAAAGATCTCTTGTAGATCAAGCTGGAAAGTTGTGTTTTTATGATTTCAGTATTTTTATATACTTTTAAATCTATTTGAATTTTCAATTTATTAGAGAATTCTCCCACTATGATAATGGATGTGTAAAATACTACTTGTATTTTATCAGTTTTTATTTTATAATTTGAAGATTCTGTCAATAATTTGATAAATAATATTTTCTTGGGATATTGTAACTTTTGTCAATATGAAATATGAGTCTATGCCTCATTCTGTATTCTTTGTTTTGAATTAAACTTTGTCTGAAAAATAACATTGCTGCACTTACCTTCTTTTTCCTAGCATTTACTTAATGCATTTTGTCCATAACTCCATTTTAAAAATATCTGGGTTGTTTTAGTTAGATGCATCTCTTCTGAGATCATAGATTTGATTTCAAGTTTTAGTAGGTATTGGTGAGTTTTGTGTATGTGTAAATCTAAGAATTTCGTTATTTGATTGGGAAACCTAATGACTATCATTTATTGCCATTTGAATACTTGTTCATAATTAATGTTTCTATTTGGCACACTTAATTTTTTTTTTTACTCTTGTTCTATTAACTAATTGAGTTATTTTTCACTTGTTTAACATCTGCACCCACCTTAGGGATTTTCAAATTAAATGTTCTTTTTATATTAATATGGTGAATTATTAAATTTATTCAATTTTATCACATATATTTTATTTTAAAATATTTTAGTAATTATAACAAAAACAATTCTAATGAATGGTTTTTTTTTCTTTTTCTTTTTTCATTTGTTTTGATGTTCCAGAATTTCTCCACAGTGTTGGTCCTTTTTAATTCATCCTACTGAACTTGCATTAATTCATTTCAGTATAAAAGATCATGTCTTTCTTTTGATTGGGAAAATGTTTGCTTCATTGACAATTTTCCCTTCTCCATTCTCTCTGTTCTCACCTCCATGAATGCCTGTTAGACAGATAGTACATCTTCCTCTCCTGTATGGTTCTTAACTATCTGCTCAAAATATCTTTTGTGGTGGTGTTGCATCTGGGAAGATGGCTTGGCTTGATTTATATGCCCCTTATTATGACGCTCTGAATCTGTGTCCATTCTGCTTCTCATCCCTAAAATGATACTTTGTTATCAACAGTTATATGCTTAAATTATCAGAAATTCTGTTTTGTTCTTTATATCAGCTGACTGACATGAATTTGTGGTTCTCTCTTATCTCTCTATATAAGTAATTATACTTATTTTTAGGTTTCTAGTTCTATTTATTTCGTTTCCTTGGTTATTAGTTTTCCCATTTCTTGTGTTTAATGCCTTCCTTTCTTGCTGTTTATTTTCTTGTAATTTGGGGGGTGTTTACTTGTCCTATACTCTCTTCAAATCTGAAGGTTCTTGTTTTCCACTCTGCTGATTTTCTTTCTGTTTAACGTAGCCTGTCTCTCATAACAGGATTTGTGGGTCTCTTTCATCTTGCCCTTCACATCACTTCCTTCCATTTTCCCAGTTTGTCCCAACTGGTCTGCTTTCCTTCATTTGCTCTTTAGTCTGGTACGTTGAACACGATGGCTCCCATTTTTTCTCCCAAACTGTTACAATCTACTTCTTCAGGAAACCTTCACTGACAACCTCAGTCCCAATGATACCCCGTCCTCTGATTCCTATAACACTTGTATTCTACAGCATAAAACTGAGTTGTCCAATACGATAGCCACTAATCACATGTTGCTTTTGAGTACTTGAAACGTAGCTAGTCTGAACGGAGACACTTTAAATGTAAAACATAGAACAGATTTCAATGATACTAAAAAAATGTAAAACAAGTTGTTAATTGATTTATTATATTGATTACATATCAAAAGGATAATATGTAGACATATTGGGCTAAATAAAATATAGAATTAGAATTTCGCCTTTTTTTCTTTACTATTTTAATGTGGCAATAAAAAAGTTTAAATTACATCAGTGGCTTGTATTCTTTTTCTGCTGGACCACACTGGTATAGAATCTATGCTACTGTGTATTTGGAACTTTTATACTGTCAGATAGGATCAGATTTAGATATGATTTGAATGAAGAAATATAGATTTTGGTTATTTCAAAAATAACTTCCCAAATTGTGATTCTCTATATAAATAACTCATATACAGTTGATTTACGAGAGCTATATTAATGAGTAAAATTATGTTTGTAAACAGCAGTGTTTTACATATATTAGTATATAACTAGTAGTTAAAACTACTAATTAATAGTTTTCTTGCTCCACAGTCAACTTCCATTGTTATTTCACTCAGGTCTCAACAGAAAAAAGAACTTACACCAGATGGTTTAAATGAAGAGATAATAATGAGAAGTCTGGCGTACGGATTGAATTACGTCCCCAAAAAAGATATGTAAGTACTAACTCCTGTGCCTGTGAATGTGATCTCATTTGGAGAAATAGCGTTTTCCTTTTGTTATCAGTTGGGTCAAATGAGGTCATACTGGAGTGGGGTATGACCCTACTAGTCCTAATTCCTTCTGAGTGGTGTCTTGTGAAAAGGGAGTGAGACACGGGAAAAACGCGCCATGTAACAGAGGCAGATGCACCTGTCTACAGCTAAAACAAAAACCATTGCCATCGAGTTGATTCTGATTCATAGCAACCCTACAGGACAGAGTAGAAGTGCCTCACAGGGTTTCTAAGAAGCAGCTGGTGGATTTGGATTGCTGACCTTTTGGTTGGAGTCCTGGTGGCTCACTGGTTAAGAGCTTGGCTGCTAACCAAGAGGCTGGCAGTTCAAATCCACCATCTGCTCCTTGGAAACCCAGTGGAGCAGTTCTGCTTCGTCCTGTAGGGTCGCTGTGAGTCAGAACCAACTCAGTGGCATGTAACAACAACAGTAACCTTTTGGTTAGCAGCTGAGCTATTAACCACTGCGCCACCAGGGCCCTGCCAACAGCACAGGAGTGCCAAAGATGACCGGCAGCCATCAGGAACTAGGAGAGAGGCCCACAGAAGGTTCAACCTGACTGAGACCCTTATTTGAACTTTTAGCCTCCAAAACTGTGAAAAAATAAATTTGTGTTCTTTAACGCCACCTACTTTATGGTATTTTGTTATGGCAACCCCAGGAAGCCAAGACAACTACTTAAAAGAGGTGTGGGCAGATTACCCGGAAACCCATTTCTGTGGAGTCAATTTCGACTCATCACGACCCTATAGGACATTAGGACAGAGTAGAACTGCCCCACAGACTTTCTAAGGAGCAGCTGGTGGATTCAAACTGCCAACCTTTTGGTTAGCAGCCTGAGCTCTTAACCACTGCGCCAGCAGGGCTCCGTGCACTGAATAGGGAATAGGAAAGGGAAGGTGAGACACCAAGAGAGTACCAACTACAAGAAGCCGTTATGACCCTTGAATCTGAAGGGATTAGGGAAGATAGCATTGCTGTCAGAGCTCAGTGAAAAGTCAGAGGGCCTACCTAGCAGAAGCCTAATACTTAGAAAAAGGATCTACTGAGAAAGAAATGGTATGAAAACAGGAAGTGTGTGTGGAAGAAATATTACAGCGTTGTTCTTCTCCTGCTTTCTGATATCCTGCTGGTTTCTCCCATTGTCCAAACCCAAAAGGCAGCCAGCAAGGGAGCTGGGAGATACAGCCCGCAGGGATAAGCCACTTGTAACACAGGGAAGGGCAGGGAAAGGTTGAAAATGGCTTTCAGTGTGGGGAAAGCGAATGGAGACTAGGAGCACAGCACACCGTTTCTGCCACTCATGGCTCATTTTTGCTCTTTGTTCAACTACCGCGAGGCTCTTACTCCCTAAACTGGGGACTGTTTTCTGTCAATTCTGTTAGACTGTAGGTTCCCTGTGTGGTACAAACGAGTAAGCGCTCAACTACTAGCCAAAAGGTTAGCCAAAATTTAGCCGAAAGGTTGGCAGTCAAACCCACCCAGGAACGCTTCAGGAGACTGGCCTGGCGTTCTGCGTGCAGAAGATCATCGCCTTAAAAACCGATAGGACACTTCGAATCTGCACACGTGGGGTCGCCAGGAGTCTGAAACTACTTGACAGCAACTAACCACCACCCCCACCTGGGAACCTAAACTATTATCATCTATCACAAGTTCTCTCAAATACGATAGGAGGATATTATGTTGGTAGCTGCCATCAAGTTGGCCCCAACTCAGTGGATCCCAGAGGCATGGGAAACAAATGCAGCCAGATCCTGCACAGTCCCCATGATCACTTGTAGATCGCCAGGTCTTTTGTCCTGGTTTGTCTTAGTCTGGAAGTTCCGCTGAAATCTGTTCATCATCATAGCAACACACAAGCCTCAACTGATAGACAGGTGGTGGCTGCTCATGAGGTGCATTGGCCAGGAATCTAACCTGGGTCTCCTACGTGGAAGGTGAACATTCTAGCACTGAACGACCAGTGCTTCATGTGAGACAGCAGAATAGGGGAGGGAAAAAATAATCAAACACATTAAAATATGCAGAGCTGTTATCGTCCCTACTTCTGTAGCTGAACATGAGGAGGTTGAAGTTGATTATTATAACTTTCTTCTTTTAACCCATATTTCATATTTCTCTTACCCTCTGTCAGGGTTCTTTGCCTGGTGAGATGACAAAACTTCATTCATAAAGAATCCAAGTCACCAGCGTAGATTTTCCTCACTGAGGCTGACTTGGTTACTACTGCTTTACTGGGTTGCCAGGTTTTTCAGTGACCTTCATTAATGGACACCTGAGTATTAAGAGGTGTCTAGTGAATCACCTTGTTTCTAGATATAGCCCTCCTTGCCCCACATGTAGCAGCAATCCAATTTCCCCTTGGAAATAGAGATCGAACGCTCTTCCTGGTCTGTCAGTTGAGATGAGATGAGGAGTTCCAAAGTGCCGGGAGGATGACCTCAGCTTTCACTTTAATGGAACCATGACTGTGTTCCCCGGACGAAGTTCCTTCCTCAGGAATTTTTACCTCCTGCCTTCTAAGGCCAAAATTTCAGCAATAGAAAAGAATTCTAGCTAGCACCGTGACTGAGGCTGCAATACAATAGAACAAGCCACAGTTCCATCCGGCCTGTTATTTCAGGTGGATGAGGTATAAGGTACAGTGAGGACCATGAATCCTAGTCTATGCAATCGCTTGTTAGGCTCTAAAACGAGTTACTTAGAAATGATGTTGTGTGGGCTAGCAGAATAGTAAATAAGGGTTCTGTAAATCCAGGGGTAACGGCTGTCAGAAAAATTCAGGACAGAAGAGGAATATCAGTATCTCGCATACACTATTCGTTTGAGAACAGAATACTGTTTCATCCAAGGTAGGAAGGGGCCAGTGTATACAACCTAGACCCAGATAGCTGGCTGACAACGTCTTCTCCCCATCTACCCTTGAAGGGTGGCAACAACTGACCTTCTGCCTTCAACTCCCTTGGTAGTGGTGTCACAAAGATTTAGTACTGGCGTTTGTTGTTGGCAGGTTGGACATGTAAGCAGTAGTAACCAACTCAGCCTTGGTGAGGAAATTCTGTACTGGTGACCCTGTGCATAGCCTCCATCTCTCCTACTAACACCACTTGGTTCACAAGTACCTCAAGTGTGTCTTAGGAAAATGACTGATATCCACAGAGTCAGTCCTACCTTAAGAGCCTCCTTTTCAGTGGATGCTCTGAAGGGCATTTAAACTGACCATAAATATCTTCACACTGTGCTCATTCTGGGAGATGCAAGCATGTGCCTTCCCACCTCATCTCTTCCTTTCAACAATTTTTAAATCTTGTTCATTCCAAGTTCCTGACCAGCCAGTCAATCTGTTAGCTACTCCTAAGGATTACTGCAAATTCTTTCCTTGTATTCTTACCTGGCCACCTTCTCTTACATTAAATTGGACATAGGTATGACATAAAAGTTCTGTTAACATGATTTCTCACTAGTGTCTTTATGGGCCTTTCAAAGTGGGGCTGAATGAACCTGCCAATCACTGCCAGCTAGTGTGAGTATATCCTGCAGACCCATCTGTAAACCAGGTGCCTGGATTTTACTCAGCTGTGAACTGGGTTCTCCCTGGTTCAGTCATAGCTGAGGAAACAACACCAGAACAGATCCAAATTTTTAAAATTTGAATGAACTGAAATGGGAGAAATTACAGGTCAAAGCCCTGGCAGAATCTTAATCTCCCTCTTAGAAAATAAGGGTAGCATATGCACTGCATAGCAACCAAATCTCTTGCCCTTCAGATTTGGAGCACAGGTGGACACAGAGGTGCCCCACTCAAAGATGGCGGCCTACTGCATCACTTTGAATGTGTATCACTCTCCACAGTCCTGCCAACAATCTAATCTCACACATCAGGCTCCTGAAAGGGCTCACTGCGCCTCTTCCTAGTCTCCCATTCCAGGGCTTTGACCCAGAATTTTTCCCCTTCCAGTTATCATTCCAGATCACCCAAACTGTAAAAATTCGGGTCTGTTCTGGTTTCACTTTGCCAGCCGTGAGTGAACCAGTCTGAACTAGTCTGAAGCCCTGGTTTTACCTCTTCTGTTAACTTGCCATTGGGAGGTTCCCATAAGCCCATTAGTGTGGTTTGAAGGAAGAGTTATCATGTAGTCTGCCCCACCTGGGCATGCAGTTTATTTATGGTGTGGACCAGCTTGAGCACGGTCTTACATAAATCATTCCTATTAAATGAGGAAAACTGCTCTGTGTTCCCGAGTTTATGATTAGATGGATCATAAACCATCCAATTCATTTGAGTTTCCCCAGACCACACAGTTCATGTCCCATGGGCAGCTTTCAATCTCTGTCAGGAGCAAGTTAGGACCTGCCTTTAAAGGAAGATGAATTTTCAGCACAAGAAGCCATGGCTTTGCTCCAAACTTGAGGGGTCTTCACTCTGATTCTTCAGTTAGGACTTGCTGTATCTGCCAGAGACTTTCAGGTATCTTTGGTATCTTCAAGCACTGCTTGTTCTTATCCTTACTAAGAGTGAGGTCAATACCTGTGTTCCAGATATCAAAGGCTATTTGGATTTGCTCCAGTAAAAATATCACATCTGCAACAGTGGCTCTGCTCAATGCCTCTACCTGACTAAATTTACTATGATTCTCATTTCCCACATTTTAGCCAGATTTTCTATTGACTAAAAGTTGAGTTAAAGGGGTGATGTGATAAAAATCAGCAACTCTGCATCTTCTAAGTCTTTGATGTTGCCACACAACTCTCCAGTTTCCTAGGAGTTTGACATTGCTTTTTGTTTACTATTTTGGTGGTGGCAATGGAGGTGGGGAGGGTTAAAATTTCAGGGCCTTTCACTTATCCCTTTCTGCCACAATAGCACTGACTTCAGAGGCCAAGGGTTTCATGGGGGATGGCATTTCTGCAAGTTACAAAATATA